TGTAGGTATCGCTATATACAGGCATATATACGCATGTATATACATGCGCCTCGAGGTTCGATTTTTTTCGCAAATCTCGCGTCTTGAACGTCCGAAGGTGGCGGACATGGTGGTCCGCTCAAACGCCCTTAAGAGTCATAGATTTGGCTCCTAATTTCATCTCGGTAGGTGGCTAGGTAGGTTAGGCGTTAAAACGGGTGATTCGACGGTCGTGGTTTCGAACGCCGGCGGGGCCGTGTTAAATCGAATTTCTTTTTTTTGCGTTTTTTTTTCGTCACATTTATCATTTTTAACGAAAGTGTTAATTTTTTTTTAATTTTGCATTATTATATTATATATATTATTATTATTCGTTTGACGATATTTATTGGGCAAAAAAATTATTATAATTAACATTTACCAACGCACCTACATGTTTCTTTTAATAATACATTATAATATAACTAATCTACGTGTAGTACCTACTTGATATATTACAGTTTTTACGTGATTCCGATTTGGTTAAATACTGCTACAGATTATAAATACTATATTAAAAAATAGTACGACTGTAATATGACTGCTTCATTTGCCGTTTTTTTCGAAAATTCGAGTCCCGGGGTGGAGTAGTGTGTCGGAAACGAGAGTATGTATAGTGTATTCATTTATAGATACCTACGTTTAATAGGATAGTATTACATTTCAATAAAATTTGTTATTCACCAATATAATTATCTATTTGTTAATTTGACTTAATTCTCATAATTAAATAAATATACAAGGTAGGTATATTTTAGGAAATATCCAATCAGAAAATTAGATTTTGTCGACTTATTTGTTATAACCGCGAAAACATAACAATGATTACATTGATTACAGTGAAGCCTAACATAAAACACCTGATAACTGTTCTCTATAATTATCAACAAATACAATTTTATTACCTCCTGTATACTTTTTCATATTTGAACGGCCGTTTCGAGCACTTTTCGCTGTAGGCGGATTGTCCGTTCGGGAATCGGATTTCACCCGAGATGACTGATAACTAGACACTCAAACTCAGAATCCGAATTTCCGATTTCAACACACACACACCAGGACCGGACATACACGCCCGGTGGCCGGTGCATGGTCTGCGATCCGACGTAGTCGGATTGCCTACCTGACTAGCTACTTCCATACGAGCGACTTACACCCCCACTGCATCTGACACTCGGGAATCGACTTTCACCCGAGATGACTGATAGCTAGATACTCAAACTCAGAATCCGAATTTCCGATTTCAACACACACACACCAGAACCGGACATACACGCCCGGTGCATGGTCTGCGATCCGACGTAGTCGGATTGCCTACCTGACTAGCTACTTGCATACGAGCGACTTACACCCCCAGTGTCCCCCACTGTATCCGACACTCGGGAATCGACTTTTACCCGAGATGACTGATAGCTAGACACTCAAACCCAGAATCCGAATTTCCGATTTCAACACACACACACCAGAACCGGACATACCCGCCCGGTGCATGGTCTGCGATCCGACGTAGTCGGATTGCCTACCTGGCTGGCTGTGTAGTGTGTCGTACGATCGACTTGAATCGCGTGACTTACGACTAGACACTCTTCCGAGTTCAAAAATTACCGCTTAACCAGTGCTGCCAACACGACAAAACACAATAACCGACGACCCCCCATTCCCGCCGCAGGCTGGATCAAAAATCCGACAAAGATGCACCACCGCCCACACAGTCTTTCCGCCGTAGGCGGGATGACAAACACCGGAATCTAGTATATTATATAATATTAATGGTATATTTCTAAACCTATAATGGACAAATTTGTAATAAAAAAAAAAAATTAAGTTGCATGAAACCCATGAAAGTGTCACATCAACAGAAGAAGTGGATACTTTAACTCCAAGTTTGTCGTTCAATAGTTTATTGACTTCTGCTTCGACGAGCTCAATAGAATCGCAACGTATTATTGATGATAATAATGATACTACTACTTCATCGGAAAGTTATGATATTGGTAACTATATAGACCACATATATTCTATTAATGATTTTACTAAATTTATGATTCTTAAAAATCACTGGGTCCCTCCAAAAAATTATATATTTCCTTTTTCTGTACATAACAAACGCAATAGAGAAGAAAAGCGACGTCCTAATCATCAGCATTTATCTAATTATTCTTGGTTAGTTTATTCCGATGTGAAAAAAGGACTTTTTTGCAAAAATTGCGCCATTTTTACTAATGATATTCTAGTAGGTGGTCAAAAAACAATATCTGTTAAAAAATTGGTGACAGAACCCCTTATAAAATTTGCTAATTTATTAGGAAAACATGGAGACTTAGACTGCCATTCTCAAACTCAGTATCATAAGTTGGCAATAGTTAAAAGTGAATCATTTATTCAAGTATATAAAAATCCATCTTATGATATTCGGAATCAGGTTGAAACTTCACGTAAACAACAGGCTATTGAAAATAGAGAAAGACTTGTTCCAATAATAAAAACTTTAATTTTACATGGACAACAGAATATACCTATAAGAGGCCATCGTGATGATATAAATAAATGATAAACATAAATGTCTAGAAAATGTGCGCCCCCCCCCCACAGAAAATTCCTGGATCCGCCCCTGTACTGAACTGTCCGTAGAACTAGTTTCAATATCTGAACTATCCGATTCTGTATTCATATATACCTAATGTTCACTAACATTATTAAAATCTAATAATTTTCATTTAATTAACTACAAAAAAAAAACACATTTATTTTCTTAAATGTGTGTATTTATTCCCGTATACACGTATCGTACGTACGTATTTATTCTATTCGTATTTATTTATGCGCGCCGCATGTTAATATACTGTGTACCTACTAACACACGCTTACTGCTAACAACGCATGTATTTTACGTAAATTATTACGGGCCTAGGTTCGCCGCGATCTTTTTTACGAGTAACGCGTTCGAATATTATTAAACTATTACTGGGTAGCTAAGCCAGCAATCTTATAACAATATTCAACTACCTATTTCCTATAAAATTCTACTAAATGAATTTATTACTTTTAACGATTACTTTTAACTCAATTTTTTTTTCAATTGCCATGGCAGCGACCCTTCTGTGCTCACAAAGTAGTCTGCAAAACGATCCCTTAAATCATTTGCAGTTCTTGATGATCTATTACATAAAGCTCTAGGTAAATCTTGCAGCGTTCGAGTTTCATAAACATCGATGTCATATATTTGTGAATCCTTTGTTCTAACTAAATTATGTAAAATAACACATGCTTTTACTATGTCTTTCGAAAACTTTTTTGATACATAAAGTGCCCTATGTAAAATTCTTCACAAGTACAAATGGAAAATGTATATTACTAGTTGAATACATAGGGCATGGCGCTGGTATTTTTAATTGATTCCTCGTCATTAATTCAAAAAAAATATTACGCTGAAACACTGATGAGTCACAATCTTTACCATAAGCTCCAATGTCTACTTAGGTGAATTTATAATCTGAATCAGCCACCGCCATAAGAACAATAGAAAAATATCCTTTGTTATTAATATTCATTGACCCACTTCGTGGAAATCTATTTACTCTTATATGTTTCCCATCCACACAGCCCAGACAGTTTGGAAATTGAGCGGTTTTTTTAAAAGCTCTTGCTATTTTTTGCCAATTTTCTTCTGTTGGTTGTGGAAGTAGTTCGTTTTTTAGTATAACCCACAAGAAGTGGCAAACTAAACGAACAATCTTACTGATTGTGCTTATGCCTAATCTGAAGTAGTAATGAAGGTCAGTAAATGTTGATCCAGAAGCAAGGTACCTTAAAATAAAAATGAACATAAAATGGTTATTAAAAATTGTGTAATTTTCCGATTAAAAAAAAAAAAAATTATCTGTGTAAATAAACATATTTTTTATAGTATTTATTTCAATTTTTTAAGGGGAAATAATCAATGGAAAATGGCAAAATATTCGCGACGCTTTTGTTAAATCTTTTAAAAAAAAATCTGGCCAAAGCACTTCTAAAAAATATTTATACCATGACCATTTGACATTCTTGTTAAAAGTGGTACAATCAGATGATACTGAGTCAAGTATAGATGATACCCCCAACATGGTAAGTACTCCCTCCTAAATGAAGATCATGACATAAGAGAATGATAAAGTAACATAGAAATGCAATCTCAGCAAAATGTTAGTTTAGTGATATGATAAACGCAACTTTCCCAAAAAAGCTCGGTTGCAAGAACGCCAAGAAGACATTGACAGACAAATTTTGAAAGCTCTGGATAATCCCCCTGACGAAGATGAAGCAATCACACCTTCTGTGAGAAAAATGTCAGACGAGGATAAACTAGATTTTCGCATGAATGTGTTACAATTAATAAAATATATTAACAGGCATGCAAATAACCACACTCTATCGACGATAACTTCTAGATCAACTTCTAGTACTTCCACGCCATATTAAATAAGTATAGAATCATCATAAACAAATAAAATGTTTTTATTTGATTGGCTTATTGATTTTGATACAATTTTATTTTTATTTTAAATTTTGATAAACCTGGTGTTTGTGTTATACATTATCACATTATACATTCAAACTAAGTAAATATTGATTTCAATAGTTAAATATTTTTACAGGTTAATTGCAAAATCATTTTTGGATTCAAAAGGCATTGTGGTTGAAAAGTTTTCAAACAACTTGCCAGGTAGAGATTGGGCACACAGTATGTTAAACCGACATAATAATTTGGTATGCCAACGTGTTGCAACTAACATTGCACGTAATCGTGCTGAAGTTTCTCCAGAAATCATTTCTGAATATTTTGATAATTAACAAAAAGTGATTGAAAATGTTCCTGCTCAAAATATATACAATTATGATGAAAGTAACTTGCAAGATAATCCAGAGAAACTCAAAATGATTTTTCAACGAGGAACAAAGTACCCAGAGCGCGTTCAGACCATTCTAAATCATCTACGTCCATTATGGTTTGTGGTTCAGCTGCTGGAGTACTTTTGCCACCATATATTATATTCAAAGCTAGTGAAATGTGGCAACCATGGACAGAAGGTGGGCCAAAAGGCCAATCATGTTGTTCGGAACCATGCTGTTCAAAAGGGTCTTGCTATAACCGTACAGCTCATGGCTGGATTGATGGAGTAACTTTTAAAGATTGGTTCAAAACAAGTTTTATGCCTCATGCAAAACGTCAAGTGGGCAAAAAAAGTGTTAATAGGAGACAACCTTTCTAGCCATATTCAACCAGAAATTATTTATCTATGTGAACAAAATAATATTGATTTTGTCTGTCTTCCAAAAAAATTCAACCCATCTCACACAGCCTCTAGATGTCGGGTTTTTCAGACCTCTAAAGCAGGCATGTCGACATTTTTTAAATTAATGGAAAAATCAAAATACCAGATTAAATGCTATCCCTAAATCGTCGTTTCCAACACTAGTACGCAAAACTCTTAATACTATGGACAGTTTTAATGGTGGTGGTTCGATAACAAGAGATTTACAATCTTCTTTTAAGGCTACAGGTATTTTCCCATTAAATAAACAACATGTTATGGAAAAGTTACCACAGCAAGATAACTCAGTTATAACAGGGGTACGACACTCTCACAATTCCTAATGCTATTTGAAAAAAGTGGGGACACGGCCTTGAACTCATGGGCACTGCCATTTTGTTATTTATGAGAATCAGCTGACGGCTCATATCATATATTTCAATAATTAATAGTTGATACTTGATACCATTATGATAACACAGAAATGATAATAAATTATATTATAATTTATAATTTATGTCGAACTTGAAATGCGAAAAATTATAAGTTAATAGTTGTTGTTGGGTAGCCGTATGCCATATAGGCATAGAACGGTTAGGTTATAACTTAAAGTATTAAAACGCAAACAAACAACAAACCGTTTATTGTAAAAAAAAATCGTTCATAACAACACTCCTAAACCACCAGGTAATCATTTACAACTTCAACACTAAACCACCAGAGATCGACCACCAAGCAGAGTGTCGCTTCTGTATTGTTCTGTGGTTATAATAAATGACAAGGTAACTGATTATCTAAAAAGTCTATTATTTAGCTACATAATATCTTCCCTCAGAGTAAGTTGTTTCGTCGATTGACACCCATATTTTATTTCCTTTAATTTTTTCTGTAATATTTTTAATTGTTTCTTCGTATATGTCATTGACATAAGTTTTGCGTAGTGCCAAGTCACTAGGAATTTCTCTTGATGTATACTTTTCTAAAAATTATTTTAATTGAAGATCACTTATTTTGTATGTTTGTTGAAAATAATGCTTTACACAAATCATATGAGAATAAACACTTTTTTGAAGCATTAGTTACTAGCTGTTGAATTTCAGAATTTGTATTTTTTTCGTTTTTTCTAATAGCCTCTTGTTTATGTTTTTCGGTTTTAACGTGTTGAGTCACTACTAATTTTCGATCACCGTTAACCTTCACTTCACATAACTAACAAAATATAATACTTCTGTCGGTTTTAAATATATCCGTACCATATTCCAACACATAACTATTCTATTGTCACAGGTTGTTTGGTTTTCGGCATAATGCAATAAAAATAATATAAGTAATTATAACACAAGCAATTAACACGGACGTATAAGTTGGAACTGCCAATAATAGGCAGTAGGTCTAACAACAATAATCATTGAATTATTTTCCTAGAAAAGTATTTATAAAAAATCATCGTATTTCGATAGCAGCTATTTATATTTTATATTTGTATAATATTCTATTTTAGATAAAGTTAGCTGTAGTTATAATTTATATGTATATATTATATTAAACAATAGGGGAAAGACATTGTTTTAATGTCAAATGGAAATTTGAAAAATACGATACAAAAATATCTATTAAGTTTTATGAATGTATTTATTTTTTTATTAACCAATTGTCATACTGAATCTTCATAAATTATAAAATATGCCTTGAAACCCCTAAATATGAAAAAAAATATTGCCTTTAAACTTTTGATATGCTTTTCGTAGTGTCTTGGAATGAATTTCTAGCTCACTTCGCTAAATAAATAAATAACTCACTAATAACTATGTAAACGGTTTCAAATTATTTCCATCAGGAGCCGCTTGTTTTAAAGATCAGTCATACATTCGGTATTGTATTTCAGAAATAGCATGTTTTTTAAAGAATCTGGCTTAATTTAATAGTCCAGTAATGTTTTATACGCTGCACTCATTTTATTATAAAGTTGGTAATTTTTTTGTTTTTGTGATTGAAATTCAAGGTTCAAATTGGTAAGACAAACTCAAGAAATTTTAAATAAAAATGATATATTGGATTAATTAATTTTATATGGATATTTTTAGCATGATTGTCAATCAAATGTTGACCCTGAAAATATAACTTGAGTGCATGCCATTGTTCAAGTACTCGTTTAACACAGGCATAAAGCGACAACCATCTGGTTTGACTAGGTTGTAAAAGTTTGTGGTTTAACCTCTAAAAAGATATGAAATTCTTCAAAATGTGTCTGACGTTTGTAACAATATTTCACGCATTAGTTCTTCAACTTCAATGGGAATTTTTTTACTCGCATATGACGCACACAAAGCTAATGAATGGCATGTACATTTACTTACAAAAGGAACTTCATTTTCTAATAATATTTTCACTGAATGGTGTTCTCCGAACATTACATTGGCTCCATCTGAAGCAAAACTAACTTAATTTTACTTTTATGGAATATCATAACTTTAAAAAAAATTAATAACTGATTCAAAGATAGATTGAGCTGTCATAGCTGTGACATAGCTTGACTTCATAGCTGTCAGTATCCACTATGGCCAAATGTTTAACACTAGATTTGTCGGTCGACTCATGATTGAAAACATTTGGTTCTTCTTCCTTTGAATGAGATTTTGAATTCCACATTATCCAATAACATTGCAAACCAGTGCCGTTGCTTTTGTTCGATTGCATTTAATATTTTTTATAACATCAGAATCTTAATCGATTATTTTTATTAATAAAACCAGATAATCAACCGTTCGTATTGCTATGTTGTGTTCGACTATAAACATTGACAAATGAATTTCTGCCTCCTTTGTTTTTTTTAGCAAGCTTTGAAGCATTTTGGACTGTTGTGATCTTATTAATCACTATTGTGGTTTTTCTCAAGAGGATTAATGAAACGTGTTTATCAATTTTTTCGTGATTTTTAAGGTGATATTAGGTACCAGGTGTCAACATAATTATTACATTTATTATAGATCTTGTTTTGCATCTGTAGTACCAAAATCAGCTCTGCCCTGTATAAAGAAGGACGAAGATTGATAGAAGTTAATATTGAAACAGTGGTTTATGATAATTCCTATTTTTTTCTAAAAGAAGAGAATTAACTTTTAAAAATGTTTCTAGTAAATAATTACCATTAAAACAGTGTTGTGAGAAAACATATATATAGGAATGTCAACAGACATAGAGTATATCAGAGAAAAATCCTTAAAAAAAAAATTATATTGTTCCAGTACAAGGCAATTTAAAATTACAGGCAGCAGATGTTATTCTATCTTCACTTACAGTCAAAACCCAAAATCTGATGAACAGTGGGAGTCCAAAGCTATAGTGCGTTTCACGAAATAAGAGACTCGATTCCAGCGCGACCGGCGGACAAAAATCGGTAGGGCTTCTCAACATGTGCACTACAATGCGCGCGAAAATTGTACAGCAGCTGTGTGCTCAGACAGCATTGCAGCTGCAGTTTAATGGTTCACATTGCAGCTGCTGCTATTGTATGCTTCACCGTTTTATACACCACTGGATATTTTGATAACAAAATTATACCAGATTAATGATAATATTATTGACGTGTACAGTGTACACCACATCACACGTGTTTATTTTGTACTTTGATATCATTGTGATTCACATTAATTAACGTACTATTGTAAATATTGTTGTTCCGTTATCGTTTTAATTTCACTGATTGCCATTAGCCCGCGGATATTCAAAAATACGGTGTTTATTCTTTTAATAATGGTACGTGTTGATATTCACTCGCAAACAAAAGACACAATTTTTAAGGTTTATAATTATTTTAAAAAATTGTCGAAAGACCAAACGAACCCCGAAGTTGCAAAATATTTTAGCCTACCTCAATCAGTTACTGCGGAAGCATGTGGAGTCAGCCTTAGTTCCGTAAAAAGAATAACGAGTGAAGGTAATAAATCGATCGCCAATGCAGAACCAGAGGCCGGCCCTTCAAATCCATCATTTACTTCTCCACGTAAACAATATAAGCGAGTCAAATATGCAACGGACATTGACGACTTTGATGCGGATATTGTTCGTAGAACTATCCATGAGTTCTACGACAATCTTGAGTATCCTACATCAACTAAATTGCTGAGTAAGTACCAAGAAAAAACTGACTATAAGGGATCCAAAACTTCTATGTGGCGAATTTTAAAGTCGTTACATTTCAAATATAAGAAACGTAACGATGGTAGAAAATTTCTTATGGAAAGAAATGACATAGTTGCAATGCGCGTAAAATTTTTGAGAACTATGTGTAATTTACGTCAAAATAATGACACTCGCCCTGTCGTTTATCTAGACGAGACCTGGGTTAATCAAAACCATACTCGCGGGTACATATGGCAGAACGAAAAAAATTCTGAAGGGTTGAAGGTGCCTACTGGAAAAGGGAGTCGTTTGATTATCTGCCATGCCGGGTCAAGTTCATTTGGATTTGTAGCAGGTTCAAAATTAGTGTTCCGTTGTCAATCTGGTACAAATGTAGACTACCATACCCAAATGAATTCGTCAATATTTAAAGAATGGTTCATTAAAATGTTGAACCATTTGGAAGAACCATCCATTATCGTTATGGACAACGCGTCATACCACTCCACTTTAACAGTAAGTTACCCGAAGTCAAACGCGAGAAAAGCGGATATCCAACAGTGGTTATCCGATAAAAGTATCGATTTTTCTCCACTTGAAACTCTGAGTGAGTTACGTGAACGGGTAAAAGCTGCAATGCCCAAAGAAAAGGAGTATGAACTCGATGGCATTGCATTACAAATGGGACATTCGGTTGTACGATTGCCACCATACCACTGTCAGTATAATCCCATCGAGCTCATATGGGCTCAAATCAAAAATAAGGTTGCCGAATTGAACACCACATTTAAAATTGCCGATGTCGAAAAACTTGTAAACGAAGTCATAGACTCGGTTACGGTCGAAGATTGGAAGCGTTGTGTCAAGCACTGCGAAGAATTGCAAGAATCAGATTTCATAAAAGAAGGTTTACGTGACGAAATTTTAGAACCAATAATAATAACAATAAATCCCGATGAAACCAGCGACAGTGAAGATGACGACGAAGACTTTTAATTATTTTTACTTAACTAATTTTTTTTAATTGTTATAACCCTTGTATTTTTTTTTATAAATATTTTTCAACCTAATAACAAGGAATACAATTTTAATTGTTATTTGATACTTATTTGTGTTAATTAATTATTCATAGTAGTTTTATTATTTATTGAGGTTATGAATAATATGTATATAAAATTATATGATATAAATATATAACATATTGGTAAATAATATATTTTTTCACAAATAAAAATATTAAATAATAATGCACGTAATAATAATAATTGTTATTACGTGCATATTAAAATGTACGTATAATTTCAAATTTACCGCGCAAATGAAAAGTTTGATCGACACTGAAATTCAAAAGTTTGTCCACCGGTAGCGCTGGAATCGAGTCTCTTATTTCGTGAAACGCACTATAGTAATTATTTTTGCCCAAACAATTTTTCATCAAAGTTCACTAATCATGGAATTAAATTTGAAAATACAGCTAGTTATTTAAACTCAAAAAATACTTGTACAAAAGTTTCTAAAAGTGGATTTAATACAAGTGCATAGGCGCCGACTCCACGTGGGCAAAGGGGGCGATCGCCCCCGTACATTGATTTAACGGGGGCAAAAGTATTATTTCGCCCCCGTGCCCCATTGTGTACATTACCATTATTACCTAAATATGATCTATAAATACTATAGATCGCTCGACGCTCACTACTATTTGGTTTTATATTTTGTCTAAAAATACATCTGTCATTTCAATTTTTCCCGAATATATTTATAGTTTCTACAATGATATACGTCATGTATCTAAGCACCAACGCGTCGACACGTAGTCGACCAGACAGATAATTCATTGCGGCGATACAGTAACGCATTACGCAACGGCAAATAGACCGCAGCTTAGTGATCCATAGTATCTCCTTTTTTGTATTGATTTTTGATTATTCTATAGTATAATACCTAATATCTATTCGATTATTTTATTATTATTAGTAATTACTGTCCCTACGAAGTGTACTATTCGAAGATTATAACATTAAGGTAAGTTTATTATTAATCATATTGGAACAAAAGCAATAATAATAGTGAAATCAGATTTTAAAATAAATTTTAATATTCAATTTTTTAATTATATTTTTTTAAAACTTTTGTAGGGCATTAAAAATAATAATAAAAGTAATTCATCAACAAATAACAATTATGTCTATGTGGAAATATATACAAAAAAAAATATCGAACTTGATTCAAACTTAATTAACAACCAAATCAATTCTAATAATGATAGTTCAACTTCAAGCGTTAATGTAAATTATGATAATCAAATTCAATGTGAAAATATCTAGTACATCAGATTTTTCAAAACAAAAAAAATAACATTTTTAACATCTTGGTTAAACAAATATGACTGGTTAGAACCAGAGCTTGTGCTAATGTGCAGTTGTGCATAAAATGTGCAGTTCTAAATAAAAATGTGCAGTTCTTATTTAAATGTTGTGCAGTTCATAAAAAATATTATGATTTGAATTTTCAATAATTAATTTTATATTATGTCTATGAACTTGTAACATAAGTACCATTTGACATTTTGTTTCCTGAATTTATTAGAAATAATGATTAAAACATTGATAATAAATATTTATCTATGATTATCAAAAGATTAAAACTACGGTCATAAAACGGTTCTAAAACCGTGGTCATGACCGTTACGTTATGCCGTCAAATATTGTGATTGTGTTCAAATTAAGGTTAACCTACTCCACGGACTAAGATATATCTTAGTCCGTGACCTACTCTATGAATTGTGATAACATATATATATTTAAAAAAAATAATGTTAACGTGATTATGTCCATGACAATAAGTAGATGCAAATTGCAATTTTTTTTTTTGAAAAAATATTGTTCATTGATTGTCGATTGATCAGTTTTCTGTGTTCTGCTATTTACAGTGCCATATTTTTTTAAAACAGCGTTTTTCAATCGATGATAATTTTCTTACAACTATAAAACCATTTGTCCATTTGTCACCACATACAAACATACAATATGTCCATAAATCTATTGGCAAAGATATAAATTTACAAGAATTAGCCATGGAGTATGAGGAACTACTATCTATCGAAAACATTGATCAACTACGAACTATATGAATCTAAAAGAACTATTCAAAACATTATGCATTTCTCCACATTTCATAAATATTGTAACTTTATTAGCAAGAATACTTGTAGCTAAACCTCACAGCGCGGATTTGGAGCGTTTAATAAGTGCTAGTAATTTATTAAAGTCTCCATTACGTTCCTCCATGAGTGTTTCAACCGAAAATATGTACTTATATACATACATTATAATACCTATGCCTCCCTTGTATGATTGGAACCGGCCAACATGTCAATTCTCAAATGGATGAATAGCAAAAAACATAGTTATTAAAAGAACAAAAGCTAAGCAACTAAACTATTTTAATGGTGTCTTTCCAGATGCTACAAAGACAAACAAACATCACCAAGTGGAAAATAGCGATACTGATGAGAGGTTGTCATAAAAAATAAAATAAAATAATTTTAAAACAAGATTAAAAGAATTTTTTATTTTAATTGTTAATGTTCATACATTATGACGTACCTATAAAATAATGTTATTATTATTTATTATTAAATTATAATTTTTTTTTTATGTGCGAGCGAGGTTAAAGAAAACAAAATCATTTTAAAAATAGATTTAAAGAATTTGTTATTTTAATTGTTGATGTGCATACATTATGAAGTATAATATAATATTATTATATTTTTTTTTTATGTAATACAAACAGTATACTGTGCAGTTCTAATATTTCTTTAGCGCAAGCTCTGGTGGTTAGAACATGATCAAATTAATGATAAAGCTTTTTGCAAATTATGTAAATCTATGAGTAGTAATAGCAACAATAATGTTGCCCCCGCGCTAATATCTAAAAGTCGGCGCCTCTGTACAAGTGCGACAGAAAAATGGTTAGGATACTCTCCTGATAGAGTACTTGTTGATAACAGTAACTATCGTAGTAAGTTAGTTGAAATAAAATGTCCATATAAAGGTAAAACATAAAACATAAATGAAGTTATGTCTAATCTTACATACATTAAACAAACTACTGATGGTGAATATTATTTAAAAATTAAACATGCGTATTATAATCAGGTACAGCTAGGAATGGTTATGCTAAATATCAATAAATGTGATTTTGTTATTTATAGTAGTTTTGATCATAACTCTGCTATAATAGAAGTACCTTTAGATGAAAATTATGCTTAAATTTTACTTGAAAAATTGAAATGTGTGTACTTTTCAAAAATGTTACATGTCATTTGTAAGTTTAAATAATAAAAATGAATTTTATTATTTTAGATTATAGTTGCAATTATAATAATGTATTGTATGACAAGATGTAAACACAAATATATTCAAAGAAAACACTTAAGCTCATGTAGATTGATTTTATTAACACGTTGACCGCCACGAGATCTCACCAAACTTTGTCCTCGTGGCGACGCGGTTTTTCATAGGTTTACTCAAATTTTTTTTTGGATAAAACTTTGTCTGATTTAATTCAAAACTTGTACTTATATTCAAAATTGTTTTGCTAAAACCTTTTTTTAGTTTATAACTTAAAATAAGCCGAGATCTCAAACTAAATCTCATTATGAAAAAGCACATTAAATCTCAAATAAATATTTATTTATTTTATAAAATAATACATTAGGTATTTGAACAATAAGAAACAATATAATAATATGAAAACAATCTCTGGTTTTTTTAGGCTTTTATCCTATAAATTGCAAAATAAAAAGCATAAATGTAACTTTTTTATGATAAAAATGATATTACATACAAAAAACATAGCTTGAAAACTTTTTTTTTAAAGTATAAAATAATATTCAAAAACCACTCATGTACATTAATAATAAAAAAACATAAGTTACAACAAATTACCTACTATTAATAATAATATAAAAAAAAACAGTTTGATTATAGTAATAGGTATTTTTTTTATAGCATAATAAATATAAAATATATTTATCTAAGTATATAATAATTAATAAAAAAAACATAACTTTAAAACTTTTATATAATTATCAATATTTAAAATGTATAGATACAATGTAAATAATGTGTCACTGCTTATAATTTGTTGATCACTATTCTTTATCATTTTGTGATTTTGTGGTCTTTGATAAAACATAATGTACAATAATATCTATCACATGCCAGACATTTAGTCTGTACTTTGGTACTATGAGACTGGGCATACTTTCTACCCTTTTCACTAGACATTAGTGAATAACACATAAAACATCTGCTTTTACCAGTTTTTTGTAGTTGATGTTTGATAGATGGATTTATGACAATGTTTTCTTTTTTGGTTAATTGTTCTACTAGAGAAGTACGGAAATTAGTTATTGACATATTGGAACAGGTAACTTTGTTAAATAATACAAACGCGTTTACTACAGCTATATTTAATAAGCCATCTAACGCTACCTTTCTGTACCATTTTAAGCTACGCCTTAGAGGGTTTGAGTAAGAAATCATTTGATCAGAAAGATCAATTTATGTCTTTCCTATATTGTAGTCAATCACTACTTTTGGCTTCTTTACAATTTTACCCCTTATACGTTCTTCAATCATTTCACTGTTATGTTTTGTGGATATCATATATAAGTCTCTTTTATCCTTCCATTTTAATATTAAAACATTTGTATCACTCCTCATTGAATCAACCTCTCCTTTTTTCAACTTTTTTTTTATTACTTCTTTAGGATTGGATTTTCTGTTCGATCTGATGGTGCCTACTAGATGGGTTTGTCTAGTTTTTAGTTTTTCAGCTAGTTCAACACTTGAGTACCGATTGTCCACATATAATGTTCTTCCACAATCAAAATAAGGATCTCCTAGTGTCATAACAATATTTGTCCCAACACTATCATCAACAACAGCCTCTTTGCCAGCATATACTTTTATCTCAATAGAATAACAAGGAGGAATGCATCATTTAAATTCTTTTATTCCAAATCTATCCCTCTTATTGTTTATAGATTTCAACATCTAATTTTTTACTTTTTTTTAGTGCTAAGCTATTTATTTATTATTTTGACTAATAAACCAAATTTAATTATTTTTTTTAATCAAAAATAAATTTAATAACGAATAAAAACATATGTTTTATTATTATAATGATACTTAGGCTGGTTCTTAGAGCTTACGTATATAGTTAAATTATAAGTTATAACTTATAAGTAAACTAAACAAAATTTATTTGGTCTCTTCTTTCCATTAAATATTTTATAAAAATTACATATAAAAATAAAACTATAATTTCAAATATTTAGTTATATTTAAAAAAAATAAAATATCTTAACTTTTAGATAAACTTCAAGATAAAGTGGAAGAAAATATCATAGATGCACAATCAGCTCAACGAAAATCATACGCGAAAAGACACCCATTGGCTGAGAATACATTTAAAGTAGGCGACAAAGTGTTAATAAAAAATCTCCGACGTGATGACAGGAAAGGAGGAGCCATGGCTGGGTCCATTCACTATCCATGAAATTATCAACAATAAGATATGTCAGTTAAAAAATGATGTAAAAGTATTAAAAACCAAAGTGTTAATAAGTAATATGAAAAAATATTTTGAATATGACGGTCAAAAATTGAATGAAGATACTTATGCAGAAGAATTAAAGACAAGCGAAAAAAATATAATGTCACGAAAAGATAAGATTCCCACCGGTCCAAAAACCAGGATGTCTTATCCAGTTGGTAAAACATGCAGGCAACAGACAAAACGCAGAACATTAAAATTAAATTTCAGCCAACAAGTAACAAACGAAACTATACTTGCAAAATTCTTGACGGTTCCATCTGAAATTAAACACATTTTTGGAGATGGAAACTGTTTATATAGATCTTTATCGTATTGGATAACAGGTGACGAAGATTATCATTTTGCCATAAGACAACATGTTTGTGAGGTAAAAAAAATGTATACTTGTATTTCTTATCATATTATAATAAACATATATTTAAATACTATTTTCTGATTGTCAAAACAAGTTCAAATATCGAAAGATATATAGGGGGAAAGGAAAACATGAAGAAATATTTGGAACAAAAAACAATAGAAAATGATGGTAATATAAATGTATAACCATTTTGTAAATCAATATTTTTTCAAACAAAAACACGTCAAATTAACCTATTTAAATAGTTTTAGTGTTGTAAAAAGAATTACATTTTTTTTTATGAGTACAACTATTATGAACGAAATCGTCTGTCTTTTATTTCAGCTGTGTCCCGGTGCTGACGTAGAAATATTTGGTGACGCAATTTTATTAAAAACGTCGATCTACGTTTATATGACTACCACAAGTGAATGGCAGTTATTCAACAAAGATATAACTATGGAAAAACCAATAAGGAAAACAGAAAAATGTTTATACATTAGAGATTTTAATAATGTACACTACGATGTAGTAATTAATGTCAAATAGTAACAAGTTTTAAAGATATTTTTTTTTGTTTATTTTCGTCTTAAAGTATAAGGCATGATAATATTATAATTACAATAAAGGTTTTGTTTGTTAATAATTTATTAATTTTATGTATTTATTCAAAATCCATGTTAATTCTAGTAGAATTCTGTATTTTTTTCTCACAGGAAATATTTAATCAAACTTACTTGGATCAACACAAACCTTAGATATCTGTTGAATGTTGATACAAAAAACTTTTCCATTTACCCCTAGTGACTGGTAAAATTATATTATTGCAATCTCACCTACAGTACAAATTTACCCCCGGATAATCTAACCGTTGGGGGGTATAATTATCCTAGTATAATCGTACACCCCGGTAACATTTTCCCAGGATTATCGTACCCCCGGTAACATTTTCCTAGGAAAATATTACTCCCTTAAAGGGGTACGATTATCCTAGGAAAATGTTACCGGGGGTACAATTATACTGGGAAAATGTTACCGGGGTGTACGATTATACTAGGATAACTTTACCCCCCCCCCCCCCCCGTAAGATTATCCAGGGGTATGATTATCCTATTACACCGGCGTGGCATACGATGAGGTGACTGCCTTTGCCTGTAGGTAATTTTAAGTCTTCCGTATTTTCTTCATTTTGCCAAATACGTCCAAGAGTATGATTTTGATTAACCCAGATTTCATGTAAGTAGACTACTATTATCAAAGTTCCTTCGAAGCTCGTTAATTTTTCTAAGAAATTTAACCCGCGCAGCTACGATATCGGACTGTTCCATCAAGAATTTTCGACCGTCATTACATTTATTGTGCTTAAAATTAAGTTGTTTTAAAAATATTTTCGATTTTGATCCACGGTAATTTAATAATATTCCAGAATCAGTTCTAATAATATTTTAGCACTCGTTGGAAACTCACCCTTGTCTTTAAAGCAATGGACAACTCTTCTGACCACTTCATTGTCAAAATCATCAAGTTCAGTGACAGTTTTCTCGTGACTATCTTTTTCGTGGTGATTGAAATTTAAGGTCATTAGGACTTACGACACATAATGATTCATCTTGATTCCCTGTTATTTTGCTTTCATTTCAACGTTGTACAGTTCTCAGACTCACTGCAAAAGCATCAGCCGTCCTCTCCTGTGATTGCCGTAAATAATCGGCCAATTCCGGCTTGTCTTTGCACTTGGCTAAGTTTTTAAAAAATATATACACTTTGTATATCGGGTCGAATTGACATTTCAAAAAAATAATTTATCAAGCGATTAGTAAAAAAAAAAACACACAAAAAAAATTAAAATATTATACAATATTAAAACAGCCGTATAAAAAAATCACATTAAACTCAAACGATAGAAAACAACACATGCACGAAAGGCAGACGATCGCAGACTAACACGGGCAAACGTAAATTGCGACCAATGAAAGGAAATAGTTGTAAATTTTGCCCGGTATTTTTCAGGTATAAATTTATGTGTAGTAAATTGCGCCCGGTATTTTTCAGGTACAAATTTCTGTATAGTAAATTGCGCCCAATAGAAGTATTATTTTTATGATAGTCATTTAGCATTACCCAGAGGACACCACGAGGAGGCGACTATCACTGTCCTCCAAAAATGTTTTTTTTGCTTATTTGAAATGAATAAATTAAAAAAAATAAAAATAATAGGAATTAATAAAAATAGGAAAATATTTTTTTTTTTTTTTTTAATATTATGGTATTAATCATAGTTGTTTAAATATTTTTTGTTAGGTTAAAAATGTTTATAATAAAAAATACAATTATAAGTTATCTGCATAGTAATGAGACATCATCCTCATATATTCAGCCCTCGTAATAGTGTTTTCATTGTATTATTGAACAATTTTTTCCATTTTATTTTGATTTGGTGTTTTGAAATGTATAAGGTTCATTTATACTATTCATTTTTATATAAATTTCAGATTGTAACTCTAATATTTTATCCATAAAATTATAAATGAGGATGAGATGTATAAAAGCTTTTATTAAAATGACTGTGGAAAGATTCACAGGCATTAGTTGTCCGAGTTAATGTTGGGGAAGCTGATGCCCAAATATTCGGAGGAAAGTCAGCGAATAAAATATATGTGTAAAATATAGCAAGAAAATTGTCTAAGTCGGTCATCTTCAGGCATTGTAGGCATTACTTCATAATTAAAATAATCGCAAACATTTTCTGGCTCTAAAAATACCATTCCAAACACATATAATAACCATTCTCTAATAATAGATCCGTTTGATTTATACTCTGAACTCAAACCAACTTTTTGAATTCGTCCCCACCAGGCCTGGGGTAAGTGAAATCAACATCCTATAATTACGACTTCGGGCTAAACGTTTAGGCAAGCAAAATGAATAGCTTTTTCAAAGTCAATAACAGTTATTATAGTTACTATAGTTACTATAGATTTGGGTTTCAAAATATACCCGTTTTCAGTACGTTTTTCGTTCAATGTTTGAAAAAAATGTATATAAGTGTTAGTAGATTTATTTTTCAATAAACCAAACACCAATGGTATATAGTGCCCTTTAAAATATCCATGAACACTAAATAGTTGAAGGCAGTGCTTGCATAGGCGGACATTTGGTTGAATTTTTAGGGGGGCTATAATAATCCAATGTAAAGTGACCCGCAGGGGCTTCACCCCCGCACACCCTTCCCATTCACAAGTGTAATATATTACTAATACAAATATGAATATTGTAATACAAATTAAGAACACTTAATAGTTAATATTTTATTTTATTTTAATAACAAATACCTATTTATACCAGCAAATATATTCAAAATATCATTGCTATTTATATTTTTGGACATATCTTTTTCAATATATAGAATAGAAAGATCGCTGAAACTATCCTGAAGCATGGATGTCCTTAGCCAAGTTTTTATTTTTCTCATTGCACTGAAACTTCTTTCGCAAGTACCCGAACTGATGGGTATTGTTAATGCTATGGTAAATAGTTTTTGCAAATAGGGAATATGGTTTTGTTTTCTGACAAAACTCTTATAACATCTTCTATATTAAAATAACGTCACAACAACAACGGTCGTGATCCCGCGAGCCGACGCTCGACATATCGATAAGAAGTGATAACACGTCGTCTATCGAATATGCTCGTGCCCGCATGGTAAATTGAATCGGTCGATTCGAAAAGGCCATTTCTCCACACATTTTCAAAACTAGTTTTATGTGATAGATGTGTTAAACTAATAATAATGCATAACAAAACGATAACATAATTATGAAAACAACGAATGACATTTCAAATTAAGTTTCGATTTTTGGGGACTATTAAAATATTTAGGGGGGCTAAGCTAACCCCCCCCCCCCCCCCCCCCGATGTCCGCCTATGAGTGCTTGGCACAATACTCAAATGTACCATCTACATATACATTTCTGTTTTACATAATATTTCTAAATTTGATTTACAACATATGATTCCGAGTTCACTATTAAAATCATTATTCAGAAGCATATCCTCTCATTTCTCCTTTATAGCGATAAATGTTCGGCTTATCCACTAACAAATGAACAACAGTATTTTTAAAATACACATAATAGGTAACGATGAATTCAAGATAGTAGATACTATGGGCGCAATTTACTATATCCGTTTTAGACCCCGAAAAATCCCGGGCGCAATTTACTATACCCGTTTTAGACCCCGAAAAATCCCGGGAGCAATTTACTATACCTATTTTAGAACCAAAAAAATCCCGGGCGCAATTTACTATAGTATTTTTAGTACCTACTTAATGTGGGCGCAATTTACAAGCGCGTACTAACCCATTATGAAAAAAAAACGGTTTCTGTACACAATTAATTGCTTTCAATAAAATAACAATAAGTACAATAAGGTCAATGGAATGCGGTTTGCCAGTGCAGATGGCCAGTTTGAATAAAAAAACTCCTCGCTAAACGGTAACCCTCACCTTCACCAGTTTGTAGTACCCATATTTATATTATACATATTGTATATACGATGTACCCATAGACATATTATTATGTCTATGGATGTGCCTTATACGTGTTAACTTTTCCTACGAGAAGAATTAAACACAAGTTATATAAAGGCTTAGAAAAACAACAATTTATTAAAGTAAATGAGGGCAATCGAATAACGTCTGGTCAACCTCGCAACGGCGCAGGTCACCAATCGCTACGCAACGCGCGACAACAACTAACTATACTCTATTCAAAATGATATGATGACTCGGCGGCGACCAGTTTTCGTCGGGCGGCGGTCAGACATATGGTCAGACGCTGTCCCCACTACGGCGACGCGTCGAGCGCTGCAATTAGGGATGGGATATCGAAAGGAAGTATCGATACTTTTACTTGGTACTAGTATCGAAAACAAATATCGATATTAGTAAAATATCGAAACAATTTTATCGATATGAGTAAGTATCGAATGAAAAAAAAATGTCTTGATTTATCTAATAGCATTTTCCATCTGACTGCACTAGTGTACACTGGTAGCGTTTTGGAGGTGTCGATAATTATGTGATACTGACAATACTGATAAATGATAAAGCATGCATTATGAATTGTATTATCATATTTCAAGCCATACATAGATATTAATTACTTCATTATCATTTATTTCAAGCCATACATAGATATTAATT